GGGGGGGGCACCTGCGCATGCGCAGGTGGGAGGGGCGCATTGAATTGTGGGTGTGAGCACACATGTGATAGTGTGCACACACACAATTTTGGCACGCCTTTATAAAAAGTTCATTAGCTATTTCTTCCCCAGACCTGGTGATTGCAGTGGAATGAAGCGTTAGCAACTAGTTTGGCTGTTCCTAATTCCTCGCTGGAAAAGGAGAGGGGTTGGGATCACTCACAAGTGCTCCAGGCAGTTGCTCCTCATGAGGAGACCATAAAACTAGATAAAGTGAACCCAATTAAGCTAATGAGTTTGCAATCCAGACACATCTATTAATGCTAGTCCTCCGTATATTGAAGTACCTTTTAGGGAAGCTTTTTAAGCACCGCTATACGACTCAAGCTTACATGATCAAAACGATGTATGTTTTGAGTTCGTCCCCCTTAGTTGGCACTGTCTTAAATCTGCATTCATTTCTGATTCATGCAGTTTGCATGATTATCCAATAAACCGAGGCTAAAATTAAATTATAGAATTCAATCTGCCTGGGGTCAGACATACAAACTTGATTTCCCCCCCCCCCTCTCAATAAAAAACAATGCAAATGTTTCCATTTCCTCTCCATTTGAAAGCGCAGGCTGCAAGATTAATAGTTGCCTCTGTTTGTTCAGACCACAATTAATCCTGGTTTATTACCATAGGTGCATTATGCTACTATCTGTTTCTGACTTTGGGAGGCAACCATCGTTTCTTTGAAAATCTCAAGAGCCAAAGGTGGAAATAATTTGTTAAATTTACCTTGAGCTTGTCGTGTGAAGTATACGGTGCTTCAGGGGCATAAATTCGAAATATATCAGCCAAACAACAAGCTACAAGGAGACGGACATCTTTGTTGGGGTTCCTGAGGAAGAATTCGGACGCAAGGTGCAAGGCTAAAGGGAGATATTGTTGTTTCTCATCTTCTGAATCCTGGTCCATATCCATAAAGGTTTTCACTACCATCTAGGAATCAACGAACAATGAAAACATTTCCTTACTTTCATCCAAATTGTAATATCATTTATAATGAGCTGAAAATGACGATTTGGCAAATGTAGATCTTTCAAGATTCTTTTATAATTAACTAGCTGATAATCCGGCATTGCCTGGGTATTTATAGACGTTGAAATGTTTGTCTGACAGGGAGCCATTGAGAGGGGCCTTTATTCCCTCTACTCCCATGCCCATCATCCCTGTCCTCTCCCTTTTCACTCCCATGCGCTCCTCTTTCCTGCCCTGTCTACGATCCTGGCACCTTGCCCCAAATACATCAGGTGCTTCCCCATTGGTTCACTGGAGGGCGAACGTTACGGCTGGCTTTCCAAAGAAAGCTGCGAAGGAACTGACTTCACAAACAACGGCCGCTCTAGGACGCCACACTTGCTTCCCTTAATGGCCCAGGCTCTCCCTTCTCCCTCCCATGACATCACAAACAATTGCTGCTCTAGGATGCCACGCTCACACTCCTTAACGGGCCAGGCACTCCAGAGTTATGCTGGCACACACACACACCAGGGGTGGCTTTCCCCCCCCCCGCTTCCCCCCAGTATTTGTTTCCAGAGGGTAAATTATCTGTGTACCAAGTTTGATTGAAATTGCTCGAGGCATTTCAGAGTTTTGGTGGAACATAAATACATACATACAGCCATTTTTATTAGATTAAAAAAATTAATAAAAAGATTAATTAATATAAATATATTATATAATTATAGATGATAGGGAGGGAGGGAGGGAGGGAGGGAGGGAGACAGAGAGAGATGATAGATAGATAGATAGATAGATAGATAGATAGATAGATAGATAGATAGATAGATAGATAGATAGATAGATAGATAGA